TAACTGTTTGTACCAACATTATACTGACGGTAACTGTTTGCACCAACATCTTACTGTCTGTTACTGTGTGTATCAACAGTATGATGTTCTTACACACAGTTACAGTCAGTATGGCGTTGGTACAAACAGTTACAGTCTGGATGATGTTGGTACACACAGTTACAGTCAATAAGATGTTGGTATACACAGTTACAGTCAGTAAGATGTTGGTATATACAGTTACAGTCAGTAAGATGTTGGTATACACAGTTACAGATAGTATGATGTTGGTACACACAGTTACAGTGTGGATGTTGTTGGTACACACAGTTACAGTCAGTATGATGGTGGTACACACAGTTACTGTCAGTATGATGTTGATATATACAGTTACAGTCAGTAAGATGTTGGTATACACAGTTACAGTTAGTATGATGTTGGTACACACAGTTACAGTGTGGATGATGTTGGTACACACAGTTACAGTCAGTATGATGGTGGTACACACAGTTACAGTCAGTAAGATGTTGGTATATACAGTTACAGTCAGTAAGATGTTGGTATACACAGTTACAGTTAGTATGATGTTGGTACACACAGTTACAGTGTGGATGATGTTGGTACACACAGTTACAGTCAGTATGATGGTGGTACACACAGTTACTGTCAGTATGATGTTGATATATAAAGTTACAGTTAGTATAATGTTGGTACACACTGTTATAGTCAGTATAATCTTTGTACACACAGTTACAGTAAGTATATCTGTTAGTACACACAGTTACAGCCAGTATATCTGTTGATACACACAGTTATTTTTCGTATGATATTGGTACACACAGTTACAGTCAGTATGGCGTTGGTACAAACAGTTACAGTCTGGATGATGTTGGTACTCACAGTTACAGTCAATAAGATGTTGGTATACACAGTTACAGTCAGTAAGATGTTGGTATATACAGTTACAGTCAGTAAGATGTTGGTATACACAGTTACAGATAGTATGATGTTGGTACACACAGTTACAGTGTGGATGTTGTTGGTACACACAGTTACAGTCAGTATGATGGTGGTACACACAGTTACTGTCAGTATGATGTTGATATATACAGTTACAGTCAGTAAGATGTTGGTATACACAGTTACAGTTAGTATGATGTTGGTACACACAGTTACAGTGTGGATGATGTTGGTACACACAGTTACAGTCAGTATGATGGTGGTACACACAGTTACAGTCAGTAAGATGTTGGTATATACAGTTACAGTCAGTAAGATGTTGGTATACACAGTTACAGTTAGTATGATGTTGGTACACACAGTTACAGTGTGGATGATGTTGGTACACACAGTTACAGTCAGTATGATGGTGGTACACACAGTTACTGTCAGTATGATGTTGATATATAAAGTTACAGTTAGTATAATGTTGGTACACACTGTTATAGTCAGTATAATCTTTGTACACACAGTTACAGTAAGTATATCTGTTAGTACACACAGTTACAGCCAGTATATCTGTTGATACACACAGTTATTTTTCGTATGATATTGGTACACACAGTTACAGTCAGTATGATGTTGGTACTCACAGTTACAGTCAGTATGATGTTGGTACTCACAGTTACAGTCAGTATGATGGTGGTACATACAGTTACAGTTAGTATAATGTTGGTACACACTGTTCTAGTCAGTATAATGTTGGTACACACAGTTACAGTCAGGATAGCGTTGGTACACACAGTTACAGCCAGTATATATTTTGGTATATACAGTAATAGACAGTATGATGTTGGTACACTCATTTACAGTCAGGATAGTGTTGGTACACACAGTTTAAACCAGTATATCTGTAGGTACACACAGTAACAGTCCATATATTTGTTGGTACACACAGTAACAGTCACTATGATGTTGGTACACACAGTTCCAATCAGTATGATGTTGGTAAACACAGTTACAGTCAATATGATGTTGGTACACACAGTTACAGTATGTGTGATGTTGTTACACACATTAACAATCAATATGATGGTGGTACACACAGTTACAATCAGTATGATGGTGGTACACACAGTTACTGTCAGTATGATGTTGATATATAAAGTTGCCGTCAGTATGATATTGGTACACACAGTTACAGTCTGTATGATGTTAGTACTCAAAGTTACATTCAGTATGATGGTGGTACACACAGTTACAGTCAGTATAATGTTGGTTTACACAGTTACAGTCAGGATAGTGTTGGTACACACAGTTACAGCCAGTATATCTGTTAGTACACACAGTAACATTCCATATATTTGTTGGTACATACATTTACAGTCACTATGATGTTGGTACACACAGTTGCAGTATGTATGATGTTGGTACACACAGTTACAGTCAATATGATGATGGTACACACAGTTACAGTCAATATGATGGTGGTACACACATTTACAGTCACTATGGTGTTGGTACACACAGTTGCAGTATGTATGATGTTGGTACACACAATTACAGTCAATATGATGGTGGTACACACATTTACAGTCACTATGATGTTGGTACACACAGTTGCAGTATGTTTGATGTTGGTACACACAATTACAGTCAATATGATGGTGGTACACACATTTACAGTCACTATGATGTTGGTACACACAGTTGTAGTATGTATGATGTAGGTACACACAGTTACAGTCAATATGATGATGGTACACACAGTTACAGTCAATATGATGGTGGTACACACAGTTGTAGTATGTATGATGTAGGTACACACAGTTACAGTCAATATGATGGTGGTACACACATTTACAGTCACTATGATGTTGGTACACACAGTTGTAGTATGTATGATGTAGGTACACACAGTTACAGTCAATATGATGGTGGTACACACATTTACAGTCACTATGATGTTGGTACACACAGTTGTAGTATGTATGATGTTGGTACTCACAGTTACAGTCAATATAATTTGGGTACACACAGTTACAGCCAGTATATCTTTTGGTATATACAGTAACTGTCCATATATTTATTGGTACACACAGTAACAGTCCATTTATTTGTTGGTACACACAGTTACAGTCACTATGATGTTGGTACACACAGTTCCAATCAGTATGATGTTGGTAAACACAGTTACAGTTAGTATGTGTGTGATGTTGTTACACACATTAACAATCAATATGATGGTGGTACACACAGTTACAGTCAGTATGATGGTGGTACACACAGTTACTGTCAGTATGATGTTGATACACAAAGTTACCGTCAGTATGATATTGGTATATACAGTTACAGACAGTATAATGGTGGTACATACAGTTACAGTCAGTATGCTGTTGGTACTCACAATTACAGTCAGAATATCAGTTGATACACAGTTACAGTCAGAATATTTGTTGCTACACACAGTTATAGCAAGTATACCTGTTGGTTTACACAGTTACAGTCAGAACATCTACTAATTTTGTCATTGCTTTTTCTGTTTTAACAAAGATGACCAACATTGATATGGAGTTTTTGAGGCCTTTCAACAGGCGTTTACTAATGTGCGACTGTATAACTCCATAAGAAAAGTCACAATCTATCCTTTCTACTATTTCAATATACAAGTAATAGGCTATCTGTCTGTATGCCCTTTGTAGAAATTGAAACAAAAGCAAGATTACTGCCAATTAAGAAACGTTTTCCAGTCCATATTTCTTGGAGACGTATCGGAAAGTAATCAGGGACGTTTGGTGTGTACAAAGGAGCAACACTTTTTTTAAAGCGACGTCCTTTGTTTTAAATTGAAAAAAAACACTACATGCAATTAAGAAGCATTTTTATTTCAAAATTACACTAGCCTATTCGTGTGAAATCGACGAAGTATGGCTTGGCTAATTAGATTAACGTTATTCTGCTGTGCGTATAATCGGCACGTGATGATTTGTTTTTCCTTCAAACTGTCACTTCGGCAACACAAAAAGCAACGTCAGGTGATAAAGGGTTCAGTTTAGCAAATCTACAAACCCGAGCATTCATTGCCAGACTAGCGTGCATACATATGCGGTGAAAGTTTTGTTGAGCTAAGTTATGACTTTCACACAGAGTCCGGGCAGGATTAGCACCCCCGACAATGAACCGAAGCAGTGCTATAGAATTACCAGTAGGGGAAGCCATTACTGAAATATTTCTAACAGAATCCACGATCGATTCTTTTATTTCTCAATGATTCTCGTCTCCCGAAATCTGCAATGTGCGCATGCCGAAATCAGCAATATTACATGTCAAATGACAACACGAGCACTGTAAACCACACTGAGAGACAGAAATCCTGGCACATGTGTATGCTGGTGTGACACGCGTGCACACGTACGTGAGGAGGGTGTGTGACGCCGGAGGAGCCCTGTGCGCGTGCCTCCGCCGAGCTCTATCTCACCGACTGTTTCCGATGGCCAAGGCACGGCTGGGCTATCGATTTTTGGGGGAAAGACGCGTTATGGAGATAAAACGGCGAAAGCATTCTTCTTGTGATTTGCTTTAGGGAACGAGTCCATTCAAGCGGTTCATAGCAATGGTCTTCATATAGTCAAAATGACCACTCTGTCCCCACAGTGGAGTACTTGGTAGTGACAGGGTCACCTAGCCTCGTCCCCTCTGTCGCCGAATGACGGGCACCAAGGAGTGATGGCTCTATTTACACTGTGCTTGTTTATGAAAATATCTTCAGCAGCATTCAAACGCGGCTATGAAACAGATTTGAGTTGATTGGGAAAGGCTCGGAGTACATACAAGCAGTGCTACATCAAAGTAAGGGTTCTTGAGTTGGATTCTGAGGGGAGGACCATCATCTCAGTGTGTTAAGTATCTGGCGGGCTCCGGCGAATGGAAGGAAGGTCTACCTCGTGTCGTTCGCGGTGTGTGTATGGTCTTCTGGCTTCGCTCATGTTCAAAGGAAGGGAGAAGGACCGGTGTCAAGGAGTTGTAGTTTCTCGCTTTTGTTACATGCACGTAGTCATACTGGATTCCCGTAAGTGTTTACCATGGATTGCTGCAGCAAGAAACGGTTGTTGATGATAATGACCAGTGCTTGTGCGTGTGCCGCCTTTGGCTTGCTGTCCATCGCCGTAGCCACGGATTACTGGCTCTTTACTATGGATCTACAGAAAGATACTAGCAATGGGTCCGTGTATGATCACTTTTGGTCGGGCCTTTGGCGGAAGTGCAGAATAACTGGTAAGTCCCCTACCCCTTTCCTACTCTCTTAGCAGTCCTGTTCTACAGAGACAGATATGGCGCGCACACTTCCAAGCGTCAAGCATCCTGACAGCAGCCAGCGCTCGCCGCTCTCCTTCCCTACTTAACATCGACAACTGCCTAAAATCTGAAAACGGCTCTGTCTACCAATGTAATCTGTGTATCATTTGTTGGCTATTGTTCTTGGCACAGATTGTATGTAGTCATGAAATAATGACGAAATTAATATTGGCCTTTCATACAGACCAACCAGCTCAGTCCCTAGCGAGAAGCCGGGCGTCAACGAGCAGCATTACGGTACCACGTGGGTCGGTCTCTGCTCGTATTTTATATGGCAACCGAAACCCCCGAAGGGGCTCGAACAAGGGTTCCAGCTCAAACCCAATTACGTACAGGCATATCGATTTAAACCGATACAGGCAGTAAGCTAATGCTTCCGGTTACTCATTATTTGATTCTTATTCCATGTTTTAATATATTCAGTTTCCTTTAATCGACGTTATGTATTAGGTACAGGTTCCCTGTTTGACAATATGATAAGAGGGTCTGTGTGTCTCCCTGACTGTTTGTCTCTCTCTAGCTCCACTGATATATATCCCTCCCTAATTACATATATAGAACGGTATCAATTATATAGAATGTGTTTCCCGAAGATAGAACGCGTTCCTCCCAACATGTTTGTGTCCCTCCCGTTCTGTATGATCTGTGTCCCTCAATGAATGCGTGATCAGTGTCCCTCCCTAGCAGTCTGATCTTTGTCCGTCCCAAACTGTCTGATCAGTGACAATGTCCCTTCCTGACTGTCTGATCAGTGACAATGTCTCTTCTTGACTGTTAGATATGTGTTTTCCCGTGACATTCTGATAAGCGCCCTTTCCTGACTGTGTAATATGTGTCCCTCCCTGACTGTGTGATCTATGTCCCCTTGACTGTCTGATCAGTGTCCCTCCCTGACTGTCTGATCAGTGTCCATCCTTGACTGTCTGATCACTGTCCCTCCCTGACTGTCTGATCTGTGTCCCTGTCTCTCCCTTTTTATCCGATGTGTGTCCCTCCTCGTCTGCCAGATCGGTGTCCTATCCTGCTTGTCTGACCTTGGCCCTCCCTATCTGAGTCTAATCGGCGTCCCCTGGCTGTGTATCTGATAGATGTCCCTCCCTGACAGTCTAATGTGTGCTTTTCCATGACCATCTGATCAGGGTTTCTCTCTTAAAGTCTAATCTTTGACTCTTCCGGACTGTCTGATCTTTGTCCTTTCCAGATTGTCTAATATGTTTCCTTCCCTGACTATCTGAACTGTGTCCCTCCCAAACTGTCTGATCTATGTCCTGACTGTCTGATCTGTGTACCTACCTGACTGTCTGATCTGTGTCCCTATCTGACTGTCTGATCTGTGTCCCTATCTGACAGTCTGATCTGTGTCCCTACCTGACTGTCTGATCTGTGTCCCTACCTGACTGTCTGATCTGTGTCCCTCCCTGACTGCCTGATCTGTGTCCCTCCCTGACTGTCTGATCTGTGTCCCTATCTGACTGTCTGATCTGTGTCCCTATCTGACTGTCTGTTCTGTGTCCCTCCCTGACTGTCTGATCTGTGTCCCTATCTGACTGTCTGATATGTGTCCCTCCCTGAATGTCTGATCTGTGTCCCTATCTGACTGTCTGATCTGTGTCCCTCCCTGACTGTCTGATCTGTGTCCCTATCTGACCGTCTGATCTGTGCCCCTATCTGACTGTCTGATCTGTGTCCCTATCTTAGTATGTGATCAGAATTCCTCCTTGTGATTTTGATATCTGACATAACTTATACCTATTCTGTTTCCATCTTTAATTGTAAGTTTTAATATTGGCTTGACATCAAGGCATGTATTCCACTCCTAGCGGCAATCATTTCGTTCTACCTATGTGCTCCTTCCTGCGTACATAATGTCAGACAGGTCCTACCACCTACCCAGAATCACAGGCCAGGTTATGTGTGCGCCTAGCTTGCGTGATAAAGTTGTTTGATATCAGTAACTGAAAACAAATTGGAGTCATTTCTGTTCCAACTGGCTAGGGATGATCTTACCGTCACGCCATGTTTGCTTGAAGTAGGTGTTGCAAATTCTGTACTGTCGTGCACTCTTTAAATGATGCATTGGAATTAAAAAGTCTTATCATGACTATCACGGGAATACAGTTAATGTAAAATGAATATTCGAGGATCATCCATATGATACGATAATAGGTTTTATAGATAAACAACGTACTGATAGATAGGAACATTGGTTGATGATCAGACAGCAGGTAACTTTGATTACGTCATGGATCCGGAAACTAGATACTACATGTAATAAGCGTGTCTATTAGGCGACGACACTATACAATGTCTCAGTCTGTGAGGTGTGTTTCAGACCTGTTTCAGTCTGTGAGACGTGCTTCAAACCCGTCTTATTCTGTGAGGCATTTTCAAGAACTGTCTCAGTCTGTGAGGCGTGTTTCATCCGGTTTTGTCTCTGAGGCGTGTTTCAAGGCTTTCTTAGTCTGTGAGACGTGCTTCAGATCTGTCTCAGTCTGTGAGACGTGTTTCGAACCTGTCTCAGTCTTTGAGGCGTGTTTCAGACCTGTCTCAGTCTGTGAGGCGTGTTTTAGACCTGTCTCAGTCTGTGAGGCATTTTCAAGACCTGTCTCAGTCTGTGAGGCGTGTTTCGGACCTGTTTCAATCTGTGAGACGTGTTTCAGACTTGTGTCAGTCTTTAAAACGTGTTTCACACCTGTCTCAGTCTTTGAGACGTGATTTGGACATGTCTCAGTCTGTGAGAGATGTTTCAGACCTGTTTCAGTCTGTGAGACGTGTTTCAGACATGTGTCAGTCTTTGAAACATGTTTCAGACCTGTCTCGGTCTTTGAGACGTGTTTCAGACCTGTCTCGGTCTTTGAGACGTGTTTCAGACCTGTTTCAGTCTGTCAGGCGTCTCGATCTGTGAGGGGTCATGTTTCTGTACAAGTGTCCTTATCATTCACAACAAGAGACCTAATTAGACATTTAGATTATATATCGACAATTTTATCCGAATTTTAAAAAATGTTTCATATGAAAGTGTTGCATGTACATTTGTTTACCGAAAGCTTTTTCCCGACAAACTTCGTGTTGATGAATGTAGCGTTCTATAACCTGACAGGAAATACCCCAAACCGAATACATTATCAGAGGAGGCGGGTGTTATTAAGGATAAGATTGGGTAGATACTGAGTTAATTTGTCCGAAGTTACACAAGTGCCTGAAAGAGTCTGTGTGAGCTTATCTATCATAATATAAGAACTCTGTCGAAGAGATGATCTGGGTGGTTCTGTAACCACGTGTTCATCATCATTTGGAACGTGATGATGTAACGTAATTATGGGATGTGATATTGAGTTACATTTATTAGGTAGATATTGAGTTTTTGGGTAGATATTGCGTTATTGGGTAGATATTGAGCTATTGTGTATAAATTGAGATATTGTGTAGAAATTGAGATATTAGGTGGAAATTGAGATATTAGGTAGGTATTGAGTTACTGGGTAGATATTGAGTTACTGGGTAGATATTGAGTTTTTGGGTAGATATTGCGTTATTGGGTAGATATTGAGCTATTGTGTATAAATTGAGATATTGTGTAGAAATTGAGATATTAGGTGGAAATTGAGATATTAGGTAGGTATTGAGTTACTGGGTAGATATTGAGTTACTGGGTAGATATTGAGTTTTTGGGTAGATATTGCGTTATTGGGTAGATATTGAGCTATTGTGTATAAATTGAGATATTGTGTAGAAATTGAGATATTAGGTGGAAATTGAGATATTAGGTAGGTATTGAGTTACTGGGTAGATATTGAGTTACTGGGTAGATATTGAGTTTTTGGGTAGATATTGCGTTATTGGGTAGATATTGAGCTATTGTGTATAAATTGAGATATTGTGTAGAAATTGAGATATTAGGTGGAAATTGAGATATTAGGTAGGTATTGAGTTACTGGGTAGATATTGAGTTACTGGGTAGATATTGAATTATAAGGAAGACTCGATTTGGACTCCCAGATCAACACCAATGGATACATACTGGGACACTCGTGGAATTCGCTGATTCCGGCTAACTTCCATATTGATTATGAACGCCAGCTGAAAGCAGTTTAATGATCAAACGTCTCTGTGATAATGAGTAATGTGTTTATAACCGTCAAATTGTCATCATCGCCGTCACATAACGGAATTCGGCCAATCGTATCATTAAATGATTATTAGGGATATAATAAGTTGTAAAAACGAAATAACTGACTAAGTCAATCCATACCAACAGTGAGGGTTGAAGGCATCTTTACAGAGTTTGAAACAGCTCCGTTTGAGTATATATCGCGTCACATACAAACAGATTAAGTTTATTCCATATTTTTCATGGGCATGCCTAAAGACCTATTCATTTGTATTTTATCATGTAATTTTCTTGTAAACAATTTTAGGAATATAACAGTGTCTTGGTCGGAACAACGCCGTGTATTCTTTAGTTATCTGGTAGCCGACGTTCGTCAACAGGAAAGAATTTTAGTAATATCCGTCATCATTTCAATCAATCGTCACGCGATCAGTTGACGAGATTGATATACCAGTACAGAGATAAGCCCGGCTATTTTTAGAATGTAAAATGTAACATTAGAATATGTGAATGGCTTTTTCTTTGTTGATATTTTCACCTCTAGGCCGTATAAATAACCTATTTCTCTCTGTACAAATATTCTATGTGAACTTGGCAATGAACGCAAAAGATGTCACGTCATGTCATTTTTTCGTCAATTCAATATGTCTATGTGACACCCGGTACTCCCCTTCAAAGGTCATACACTGTATAAAATGTGGTGTCTGTGACCATGATATTGATAATTATTGTATATGGTGTTGTTTGGTCAAAGCGATGCAAATAACTTTATATGGTGTTGATAATAATTGTATATGGTGCTGTTTGG